TACACAGCATTAGCAAAAAATAAACCCTGGTTATTATAAACCACTAAAATTGAGGGATTGTTTGTTACCACAACATAACCTAGCCTAAACTGACTTATATATCAAAAAAAGGACTCTGACTACCCTGTTTTGATCACATCTCTTGCTTAACTCTTCAGTGACACTCATGTGTCACTATCATACTATGAAGGCTCTTTCTGATACAGTCCTGCTTGTCTCTCCAGGCTTATTTCCTGGGACTCCCTTTATATTCCATACCACAACCATACTAGATTATTTTAAAAAGATTTCTCAATCATGTTGGCCCTTCTGTTCATTTATTTACATGTTTTTCATAAAAGAAATGTTATTCCTCCAGTTCTATCCCAATCCACCCAAAATGTCTATACTTCCTTTAAGGATCCACTTAAACAGAGCTTCCCCTGTGAAGGTTCATGTAAACCTGTCCCCTTAAACACAACTGGTTGCTCCACCACAGGATTTTAAACATCCTCTATTAGCCATTATCTTGCTATTTATATAAATAGGTATGTCTCCAACTACATTGTGGCTTCCTTAAGAGAAAAGACTATGTCTTACTCATCTTTGGAGTCCAAGAATCTAATGCAGTGCTTGGCATATAACAGAGGATCAATATAAGCTTATACAGTGCTAATAGTCTTTTTCCAGCAAAGTTGGATACAAAAAGATAAGACAGGGCCTTGCATCATGTTAAAAGATAATATAAAAAAAATCTAACCTATTCCACTCTTATTTTGCTTCTATATTTCTTTGTCAAGAATACTCTTCCAGATTGGAAAGAGCAGAACACATATGGTTAAGAGAAAACTGAAGCCTGAGACAGAAGAAAAGATAATAAAAGAGCATCCAGTAGCTTTTTAATACATTCAAATCTCTAGAATCAGATAAATTATAGCCTAAAACGTTGAGATCTCCATGATATATCATGGAAAACAGAAGCTAAAAGACTAGAAAATAGGGCGCCTGGGTGGCTCAGTTGGTTAAGCGACTGCCTTTGGCTCAGGTCATAATCCTGGAGTCCCGGGATTGAGTCCCGCGACGGGCTCCCTGCTCATCGGGAAGTCTGCTTCTCCCTCTGACCCTCTTCCCTCTCGTGCTCTCTATCTCTCATTCTCTCTCTCTCAAATAAATAAATAAAATCTTTAAAAAAATTTTTTAAAAGAAGACTGGAAAATAGGAAAATTTTATTTCAATTTTCTCAATTTCAAAGGAAAAAAAGAGAGACATACTAAATTCTTGGAACTACAGATTAAGATTTTAACAAGGATTCCCAGAAAAATTCTATGTCAGCCTATGGCAGGGTAGGGAAGGGGTATAGAGAGCACCAGAAGCCAGAATGGGTTCAATAAGAAAAAAGTCATGCTGACCTAATTTTACTTTTGGCAAAATTAGTAGACTGAGAGATCAGACAAATAACAGAGTAGGTCAAATACATCTTACTGAAATCAAGCTAAGATTTCTTATATTAGTCAGGTAATAGATTCAAAATTGGTTAAACAGCCATCCTCAGATTATTAATCAATGACTTAACATCCATCCGGATGGTAGGCTCTAATGTTATCACAAGGCTCTGTATTTGGCCTTACTTTGGTAGATGTTTATCAACACTCTGAAGATTTAAAAGGTAGCTTATACATTTTGCTAGTGATATAAATCTGGGATGATTAGATAAGGCCATGAATGATATAATCAAAAAAATAAATATCTGAACAGGTAGAACAATGGACTGAAAATACAAAATGAAATTTATCAAGAATGAATGTAAATGCAGTTATCTAAAGAAAAGTATTCTACTGGTAAGACATCAATTTTAACATCAGTTGATGATTAGTTGAGAATTTAATTGTGTTAAATAACAAAAATTCAAACTGAGCAAATTTAAAAATCAAATTGGCTTTAACGATTCATGAATTGAACAGCATCCAATCTAGCAAACAGAAAGAAGCTCCAAAGAGCTACAGAAAAGGAAAGGTTGGGGCACCTGGGTGGCTCAGTTGGTTAAGTGTCTGACTTAGGCTCAGGTCATGGTCCCAGGGTCCTGGGATGGGCCCCCCACCCCCGCATTGGGCTTCCCACTCAGTAGGGAGCCTGCTTCTCCCTCTCCCACTCCCCCTGCTTGTGTACTCTCCCTGTCAAATAAATAAAATAAGAAAGAAAGAAAGAAAGAAAGAAAGAAAGAAAGAGAGAGAGAGAGAGAGAGAGAAAGAAAGAAAGAAAGAAAGAAAGAAAGAAAGAAAGAAAGAAAGAGAAAAAGAAAAAAAAAGAAAAGAAAAAAGAAAAGGAAAGGAAAGGAAAAAGGAAAGGAAAGGAAAGGAAAGGTAAGGTTTGGGGGCACCTGAGTGGCTCAGTCAGTTAAAGCATCTGACTCTTGGTTTCAGCTTGGGTCATGATCTCAGGGTCATGGGATCCACACTCAGCACAGGCAGAATCTGTCCCTCTCTCTCTGCTCCTTCAACCTGGCCCCCTCACATACACACACTCTCTCTCAAATAAATAAATAAATAAACAAACAAACAAATAAATAAAATCTTTAAAAAAGAAAAGAAAAATAAAGGTTTTTAAAGTCAGAGAGGGGATGGGAAAAGGGTCATTAATGAAAAAAATAATTATTTCTGGCAAGGTCACCTTCCTTTGGGAGAAAATCAGGGTCTATTAGGCAGGATAACCACACTGGGACTAACCAGGAAATTCCAGACTGACCAGTTAAGATTACATTCCTGAGGAAGGTCAAAACTGCAATTAGGTTAAGTATTAAATCTCGGTTTGGTGACATCGGGTTAGTACAAGGGACTCCATTTTTGACCTGTTATTTCTTTTTAACAACTGAGTGTAAGTTCAAAATGAGCCTTCATTATGAAGTGTCATAATTAGCTTAAGAGGTCTAAACAAACTCAGTTACCAAATAACAGTACAGTTGATATGGGAAACAAAAGCAAAAGAAAAATTATTAAATTTCCTTACTATCTACAGCCCATTGACAAGTCCTGGAAACAGGCAGAGTGACATTCCTCTAGGAGGGACTCAACTGCCTCCATGTTAATACTTCGCTAAAGGCAAAAGATAATCCTAACCCAACCTCCACCCCCAGGATCCTGTAAGACTACTTTAACATATAAAAATTCCTTAGAAATTTCCTTTATCTCTAAACCCTGCAAGATTCGTATTGGCAAACAGCCCCCCAAGCATAAGGCCCACCAATATACATCTGAAGAGTCTCATGACTAAGGTTTTATTAGACAGTAATAAATGACCTTTTCCCAACAAGAGCTAGCCTCCTCAAGGTCCTGGAAACCTTGCTTCCAAATTCCTTAGAGACTTAGGCTACCCTGAACCCCTTCCCAACTTGAAAGTATATAATGGGCCACTCCTCATGACCTTGGTGCAGCTCTTTCTGCCCACCAGTCCTGTTCCCAGGCTTTAATAAAAACCACCTTTTTGCACCAGGGATGTCTCAAGAATTCTTTCTTGGCTGTCAGCTTTGAACCCTAAATGTTCTTTCCTACATCACAGTAACCTGAACAAAAAAAACCTGCTACAGGTCAAGCAACAGCCTAAAACCATAATTTCGTATGTGAACTCTTACAGGTTAACCCTGGCCATATAATAAATTCAGAAAAGGATAGCCAGGAAGGTTAACAGGGCTGGCAAACTAAATCATATGAAGAACAACTAAGAGAATCAGGAACAATTTCCACAAATAAGATCTGAGGCAGGAAAAGGAACATCAGAGCTGTTTCCAAGTATTTGAATGACTGTTAGATTAAAGGGCAGGTATTATGCTTTTACATATTTTGAACTTATTCTCCATGCACACAGTTCTAAGCTTTTCATATAATAAATGCTCAAATATTTGAAGTTCAGGATCAACTCACCTGTTGATGGCTAAGCCAACAAAGACAGTTGTTACAAAGGAGTACCTGAGATGATCTGAATGACAACTCAACAAAAGGGTATGGTCGGAGGAAGGAGGCTTAAAAATCAAAGTAACAGTATTTTAAAAGCCTTTACTGAAGGAAGCTAAAGAAGATATGTAAGGCTTATTATCCTATAATTTAGAATTTGTCTTACATCAGATGACATTCTTGACCACACCACTAGTTATATTTTGGCCCCTTTTGTAAATATTTCCCACAATCGAAAGAGTCCTTGTTTTCAATCTTACTTTACAAAGTGAAAACTGAGGCTGATGGAAGTATTTGCTTAGCACCAACAGTATAACAGTGGTTAAACTTGAATAAGAACCCCAAGCTTTTCACTCATAAACTCTGTTAAAACCACTGGACTCATTTAGGAGGCAGTAAACAAGTACAGTACTTAATTTAGCAACTCAACCCAGTTTGGTAATAACTTTGGTTTCACTTTTGTTACTCCCTTCGTCATCCAATCTCTAAATCCACAGAGTAAGTCCGCATTAAAACTCCAAAACACGTAAAAAATTTTATTTCTTAAAGCCTAAAGGCAAAAACAAAAAATTAAGATTTGAAACAAAGGATTTGTCTCTCTCATGCTACTTAGGTTCTAGCCTTAGCACTATCAGTTCTATCATAAGCCAAATCTTGGCCATCAGGGTCTATTAGATGCACACCACACTGTTTCTCCGGAAACCTAAGTGGCTTCCTTTGTGCATCAGAGATTTGGTGCAGAGTTGCAGCAATGTTAGTGCCAGAAGGCAATGAGAAAAAGGTAGTGTTAGTAAAGGAAAAAGAGGTCTTCATGTATATGAAGAGAATAAGCACATTGTTTGGAGATTCATTTTGTTTTATATATGTATTAAAACATGGTATTAGCTTCTCAGAAAATTGAAAAAGGCCAGAGTGGCACAGGACTTGATGATATCTGAGGAGCAGCTATACCAGAATTTTAAAATAGCAAAATGCTAGTCAGCTCTAGTTGAAAAACTATAAAGGAATGTCCTAACAAGTGCCCATGCTCACAACTTCCTTCCCGAGGAGGTTCATTTACATTATAATGGTTGCCAAGGTTACTTTAATTCCATCACCGCTCTTTTTTCTAGTTGCTAATCTGGAGCACGGGACTGGGTGGTACACATTAACAACCAAAACTTCAACTAAGGCTAACTCAAAACTCAGGCTACTCAAAAGTTCATGACCTACAAAAGAAGAGTAGTTCTAGCAACAGAAATTGCAGAAAGGTAGGGGCCATTTGTTTCCTATATTATATTCTACCCACGATCTCACTGCTACCTCCGAGAACTTGCTAGGAGTCACTATTTTTATTTGCCCTAAGCAGAGATTCTTAGGAAAAGCTAGATAAATAACATAAATACTATATAGGGTAATGGATCAAACCAGTGAGTGCTTATTCTAAGTATTTTTTCCCTTCCTTTAATAAAAAAAGGCCATTATCTAAGAGGACACTGAAGAGTGTTTCATATGACTCATCACCAAGTATCAGTATCATCTTCTAAGAATGACAACATATAGTGCTGGCTATACAAGTAGTATCTAAATGAGACATAAACAATTAGGCAAGTATATTCTATATGAAAGTACCAACCAAACAGAACACATAGTAACAGAAAAAGTGAAGAGGAAATAAAGGCCAAAAAAAAAAAGAGGAAGATTTCAGAAACATGAACCCCAAATATTCACTTTAAGTATAGATTAACAATAAAATATGTTCCAATGATAATTTGTTATCAGAAATATTACTCCCAAAGGTAGTAACAGTGGGAGACACAGGGTACTGGTCTGCAGATAGCCTCCTAGTCAACCGATAGATGCTTCAAACATCACCTCACTGAAGAAATGAAGTTTTACATTTACATATTTTTATTCTAGTTATTCTTTTATCCCACTCCCATTAGCACTCAATTTAGGTAATCGCTGTAATATATTTTATGTGCTTACATATTTTCTTGCAAACTGTGCGATGTGTTTTACTTACATACATTTTTTAATTTATATAAATGCTATTGTATTACATATCCCAGTCTGTTCCTTTCTTTTTTTTTTTTAAGATTTTATTTATTTATTTGACAGAGACACAGCGAGAGAGGGAACACAAGCAGGGGGAGTGGGAGAGGGAGAAGCAGGCTTCCCGTGGAGCAGGGAGCCCGAAACGGGGCTCGATCCCAGGACCCTGGGATCATGACCTGAGCCGAAGGCAGACGCTTAACGACTGAGCCACCCAGGCGCCCCCCAGTCTGTTCCTTTCTGTTTTTATTCAGTACCTTGTTTTTAAGATACATCATGTTGCCATGTGCACATCTAGTCCACTGCTTCAAACTGACAGACAGTTCTTAGTGGGATAAGTGTGTCATAATTTACCCATCATTAGGGAAAGAGTAGGACAACAAGTTTGTTTTCTGTAAACAAATAACACCATAATGAACAACCAGTTATATACTGTGTGAGCATTTCTTTCAGATATACGCCTAGGGAAAGAGCTTCTGGATCATGGGGTATACATAATGTATAATCTGAGTACTTCCTTCCAAAATGGTTAGACCAATCTATACTTCCACAAACACAGAACTAGCATAACTAGCAGCTACTATGGACCAGGCACTGGACTAGGCACTCTAGATCTTTTTTCTTCTATACCACCTCATCTTCCTTAGCTAGTCTTTGCCCCCTTTTGCTTTTCAGATCAGCTATCATCACATCAGAAATATGAAGGCAAGGACTTCCTCCCTTACTTTTTCCCTATCAAGTTCCCTACTCTACTCCTATGCCATGAGCTGCCAATGTCTCCACTAACCATGAAGTTTATGAAAACAAAATCAAACTTCAAATGTTATTTTTAGGGCACCTGGGTGGCTCAGTTGGTTAAGCGACTGCCTTCGGCTCAGGTCATGATCCCGGAGTCCTGGGATCGAGTCCCACATCGGGCTCCCCCTTTTCTGTGGGGAGCCTGCTTCTCCCTCTTCCTCTGCCTGCCACTCCCCCTGCTTGTGCTCACTCTGTCTCTCTCTATGTCAAATAAATAAATAAAATCTTTTAAAAAAATGTTATTTTTAAAAGGTCTGATTCTCAAAAAGTCATTAATTGAGGTTTATCTGTTACAGAGAACACTAAGAAATTCCTTTCTGAAATTCCTTTCATACATTTCAGAGCCATTCCTATTTTTCTGCTTTGGGGAAGTCTTGGAGGAATAGCTCCATCTCTTTGGAACCCTTTTCTTCATACATAAAAAATAAGGGGAGCTAGATTACAATCAGTGTTTTCAATCTATACTCTGGAACCCAAGGGTTCCAACTCTGATGGCTCAAGAGGATCATCTCAGGACAAAAGGGGGCTACCTATATGCCTCTTCTTTTTTTTTTTAAAGGTTTATTTATTTATTTTAGAGAGAAAGAGCAAGCACAAGCGGGAGGGACAGAGAGAGAGGGACAGAATCTCAAGCAGACTCCGCGCTGAGCATTGAGCCCAATGTGGGGCTCGATCTCTTGACCCTGAAATCACGACCTAAGCTGAAACCAAGAGTCGGGACGCTTAACCGACTGAGCCACCCAGGTGCCCCTACATATGCCTCTTCTGTTAGAACAGCACAATAAAATTTTTTTTTTAAAGATTTTATTTATTTATTTATTTGAGAGAGCAACAATGAGAGACGGAGAGAGAGCACATGAGAGGGGGGAGGGTCAGAGGGAGAAGCAGGCTCCCCGCTGAGCAGGGAGCCCGATGCGGGACTCGATCCCAGGACTCCAGGATCATGACCTGAGCCGAAGGCAGTCGCTCAACCAACTGAGCCACCCAGGCACCCCTAAAATTTTTTTAATTATAAATTTTGAGAATCAGTTCTATTTAAGAAAAAGTTTATTCACACTACTAGTTGAGAGTGTTTACTGGTATAACCTCTATTGCATTTGGCAATATTTATAAAATAAAAAAATATACCTACCTTTTGAACCAGAAATTCTATTTGTAAGAATCTATTCTACAGACATTAACACATATATACAAAAATATTCATTATGCCATTGTTCATAAGGGCAAAATATTGGAAACAACCATAAATAGCAAACTGGTTACATAAATTATGGTACATCCATTCAATGGACTATAGACTTTAAAAACAAAGCAGCTGTAGGATATATTAAGTAGGAAAAAAGCAAGATGCAGAATGTTGTTATGTAGTATACTACCTTTTCTATATTTTTAAAGGATATACACACTTGTACATAGCTGAAGGGTAACAAGAAGCCAGCTTTCACCTGGCAAGGTGGACGTGTCTATTACATAATGGTATTAAATTTAGTATTAGCATTGCCTACTCCTATAGAATGAACATCCTTCTAACTGGATCTCACCTTTTTTTTTTTTAATGGATCAACTCCCTTGAGTTCATCAAGCCAGGTCTATCAAATGAATTGCCTTATCCCCAGGAACTGTTAGAAAAAATAATATATTCATGTAAATAACAGATGACAGTATCTATGCAGCTCAAAATTTAATTTTTACTTACTTTTGAACGACACTATTCAATAGATAGCCACTAGCCACATGTAGCTGGTGGACACTTGAAATGTGTCCAAATTAAAATGTGCTGCCAAAACAACACACTAGATTTTGAAGATTAAGTAATAAAGGGCAAGGGGCACCTGGGTGGCTCAGTTGGTTAAGTGTCTGACTCTTGAATTTGGCTCAGGTCATGATCTCAGGGTGGGGAGACTGAGCCCTGCATAGGGTTCTGTGCTCAGCAGGAAGTCTGCTTGGGATTCTCTCTTTCCCTCTCACCCTCTGCCCCTCCCCACTTTCTAAAATAAATAATTTTTTTAATTTTAAAAATAAAAATTAAAAAGGACAAAATATCTGAATTTTTATACTGATCACATATTGAAATAACATTTGGATTTGTTTGGCTAAATACAATATATTGGGTGCCTGGGTGGATCAGTTGTTAAGCGTCTGCCTTCAGCTCAGGTCGTGATCCCAGGGTCCTGGGATCGAGCCCCGCATCGGGCTCCCTGCTCTGGGGGAAGCCTGCTTCTCCCTCTCCCACTCCCCTTGCTTGTGTTCCCTCTCTTGCTGTGTCTCTCTCTCTCTGTCAAATAAATAAATAAATAAAATACAATATATCATTAAAATTAATTTTACTTGTTGCTTTTTACTTTTTAAAATGTAACTACTATGGGGCGCCTGGCTGGCTCAGTTGGTAGAGGATGAGACTCTTGATCCTCAGGGTCATGAGTTCAAGCCCCACATTGTGCATAGAGCTTACTTAAAAATACACAAATAAATTAATTAACTTTTAAAAATGTGACTACTAGAGGAGCCCCCAGCTGGCTCAGTCAGTAAAGCATATGACTCCTGATCTTGGGGTCATGAGCTCGAGCCCCATGTTGGGTGTGGAGCCTACTTAAAAATTAATTAATTAATTAAAACGTGACTTAGAAAATTTAATTCTACACTTTCTGATTAATTCTGACACCCTGCTATATTTTGATTAATTCACTTGCTCATACTCCACAAAAAACTACTTCAAATATTCACCATTTTACTCAAACTTCTGAAGCCTTTTTCTCTTCCCCTTCTTAGCTGATGACCTAGCTCAGAGAAAATAAAGGGTAGCTATAATATTGTCTTCAAGTCTCTTTACCAAAATTAGATCTTTGAAATAAAGCCTGTAGATTACACTGTTTTGGCTTAATGAACACTGATGGTTTTACAGCAGTATGGTACAACAAAGAGATACAGATAGAAAATTAAAAGACTTCGGCTCCAGTTTCAACAAAACTGCTATTCTTTGAAAAATATTAACAATGTACCAATCATGTACAAAATAATTAAACGTAAGTATCTAGTTTTTTAAATCATAGTTTAAAAAAACAGTAATAGTTTCCCTGAAACTAATGTTATACTAAAAAGTCAGTTAGTATATTTCAAACTCTATTTCAGTATTAAATAAAATGATGGATTTCACTGAATTAAAAGATATAAAAAGCTATACAAAGGTAAAATTATATTAAAGGATAATAATGTAGTTTTGCCAACATTTTTTCTTCTTCCTGTCTATTAATGGTGCTTTGGCCCAAGCTTATCTTGTTAGACCCCCTACAATGGTTCTACGTATAGCTACCATTATGATTAGGACCTTCATAACAATTTCCAAAGCTATTTCTTGACGCTCTCCTTCAATTTCCACTTAGACACCAGTTCTATCTGTAAACATCTTCATTTAGATGTT